TTCTAAATTTTAACGCGTCTTAGGGCCGTAGTGCGGTAGTGACACTTTTCCGGACATGGGTCCCTATACTCAAATGTTTTCTACTGTTGCACTGAATAACCCCTAGAAGTTTGATCCCATAGTTCTGAAACACCCTGTATACATAGTATAAGCATATATATATTGTATATAGAGTATATGTATATGTACATATATAAACCTATACTTTTATCAATTAAATTATGTTTGTTTTAGTTTAGGCGGAATAAAGTTAACTTATAAGCAACAGTTATTCTCTATCTCACGTCGAAAAATTGTATTAAAGAGATATCTCAATGAAAGAGCCAGAAATCTATAACTGTGAACCAAGTTTTTCATGTATTTATACGCAAATGTGTCTGAAAGAATTATTATCCAAATCTCCATCTAGTGTTAATAATGATAAAGTTATCTCATGTACGGAGATCTATACGCGCGTTGTGTGTGCGCGTGTGTTTACGCGTCTACATACACATACATACATACGTACACACACAAATGTAATACCTGTAATACGCACGTTCTCAGCTCATTTGTCACGATAACGGATACACATGTACATATTTTATATCATACATTGTATAATATGATACTTATGCTTTGTATATTATTGAATAAATAAGTTGTAATGCACAGTATGTGTGTGTGAGAAACAGTTTTATAAACATATCAATGTACTCAGAATGCCGTGAAAGTTTTACGCTTAACACGAGCATTGTAATATAAAACTTAACCCTTCGTGGACACAAACCCAAAAACTAACGACTAGTTGGACGGACTGGGTCTGTGAGACCCACGCGACTTCAAAATCGAACACCTCCGCGAAAAATCAATATCTTTTTTTAGTTTTTTTTGAATCGAAAGTTTGAACGATTCTGCGTCGACAAAAAAAGACAAATTGAAAAAATCTCTGGTAGTTTCGAAGATAGAAGCGATTCAAAAAAAAAAAAACTAATTTTTACAAGAGAGACATCGGTTTTGCAATGTTTGAGCGGATCTGGGAGATTTATATATGTCTGTCCGCGAAGGGTTAAATATATATAAATAGAGAAGTGAGTAAAAAGTTATATAGATTATTACAATTATAATAAATTTATTTGCAAGAAGAAACATATTAAATATACATAGAAGTGAATAAAAAAATTCAATGGTTATTTCAAATCCATACGCAGTTAATTACGCTCTTACAATAAAAACGGTGAAAATTATTTGTGACAACAAAAACAGTTTTGCTCTTTGCAGCTTAATAATTCTCAATGCGCAATGTATTCGTATTTACAGCTGCAACTATTTAAAAGAAAACGAGAAGAGAGATTATCCATTGCGAGTTAACATTGCGCGATATTGCGTCCTTTGTGTCGGCCAGAAAGTTTGCTAATTACTTGTAAGATTCTTGACTCGCGATAAGAGCGAGGTGTTAAGACGATACTGCGGGAGAAGCTTTCGAGATTTGAAATCTTTGTGTTTACGAAAACTTCGCGCCGGCAGTCGTGCAATCTAGTTTGCCCGAACCAAGCGCGATAAAAAGAAGATATCACGCGGGATTAAGAGAAAGAGAGACCGTATACCAACAGCTTGACACACGGTTATTACAATATATTGCGGTATAAAATTAATTAAAGAGAAACTTCACTTTGCGAAAGACCAAACCATAAGACCAAACTATAAGAAAAAAACCAAAAAACAATCGTACAGAAAAAAAAAACGATGGAAGAGAGACGAAAAAGCAATCTTTAAGTCGCGTTTAGATTATCATAGAGAATAGGAATTTTTTTTTACCGCCAATTAAGAATCATACGTGCTGCGAGTCGGACGTGAGGCAGGAGAGAAGGAAGAGGAAAGCGGAGGAGAACACGAGACTGCGGGTGGCGGAGGAAAAGGTGGACGAGGAAGAAGAAGAAGAAAAGGAGGAGAAGAGGGCGCGCGTTGTAGTAGGAGACAGACGCGGCCGAAGAGGAAGACGGAAAAGAAGAAGAGAAGGCGGCGAACGATGTCGGGGAAGAAGAGGTACAGAAGGAGAGAGGCCAAGGCGAAGCGTGTGCGTGCGTGCGTTTCTCTCTCGTGCGAGAGAGGAACCGAGGCGAGGTGTGCGCGGCGGCGAAGAGGTCGGTCGGCCCGGAGGAGGTTGGGTAAGGTGAGGGCTCCTACGGGTAAGTACCACTCACTTCATTGACTCGTGCGTACGCCCGCACGTCTGTCAGTCCATCCTCACTCACTCGATCCTCACTCACTCGGTCTCGCCCGCCTCGGTCTCTCGGCGAGCAGACACTCGCGCGCGCGACCGAGAGCACTTTGGCGCGTAACGCATACCTTTAACACGCCACCGAGACGAGATCCTCGGAATCCCGGCACCGACGAAAGGTCCCCGTGAGACGCGTGACCTCCGGTCATCATCCTGCCGCGGCGGGAGGGTCGTCGCGCTCGTCTCCCTCGGGGGGAGACTTCTGATTTACATACACCTCGTTACGATTCCCCTTCGAGGAGGGGAAAGCGAGAGCGTTGCGAGGATCAGCGGCGGACCCGGTTGGGACCCCTTCGATAAACTAGAAGAATACGAAGCCAGGAGGATGACCTTGGCGCGCGTTGTTAGGATCCCGATGCTGCTGCTGCTGCTGCTGCTGCTCGTCGTGGATGGATCGCGGGCGCAGGCTTATCCTCGCGAGATCAAGCCAGGTGAGCGCTTGTTTTTGGAATACGTTTTTGTTTTTAACTTATTAGAGGCTCATTAGCGACTAACGAGTTGTCGCGATTTTTCTTGCTTCCTATTTGAAAGCGGGGGAGGGGAGGGATCGAGCTCGTTCGCGGGATTACAAACTAAAACGAGTATCTTAAGTGCGTCTCGCAGATTGCGAACGATGACCGCTCTCGCTGATCGTTGTAATTTGCAGTCGCGCGCGAAACAGAAAATATTATCGCGGTGTTATATCCCTGCGTCAACGTCTTTAACGAAGAAAAATTGCTCCTGGATTTTTGATTTATTTGCGATCTGTAACAAAATTGCGTACATTATTTTGATCTTTGAAATATTGCGAGATATCTTTTAAATAAATTTTTGAGAATTGCAAATTTTTCAGCGAGTTGCGCGCAATTGGTTGATATCTGTTTAAAGAATTAAGATTGTTTTTTTATGCAAAATACAGTGTGTGGTTGACACACACACACACACACAATCAATTAGTAAATTTAATAAAACACCTGTATCATCGCGCGAGTCTCTCAAGCGATATTTTTTTCCCATGTGTCGTGAGAGAGGACCATTGTTTTCGATCGAGAGATCTATGGATCGTCTCTTGCGCAACTGCCAGGGTTAATGCACGACGAGCGAAGCGCAGCTTCTATCGGATCGCGATCGATCATGAACGTCATTTTTTTTCATCCGGCCGAGAAATTGCGCTTAAAAGAATAATGTGAGAAAGTTCATTCTCTCTCTCTCTTTCTTTTTCTTTTTTTTCTTTTATATGCCACTTGCAACGCTATTTACTAGCGACGATACGTAACAAAGATACAACTCCGATTTTAATCTCGCAAAAATGTTAAGACACACGCGTGTTTAACGAATTGTCATTGTTCTCGTAAAAAAAAAAATAAAAAAAGAAGTATTCAATCCGACAAAGTTCCATTATCGTATTAAAACGCGCGTACGTCTTTCCCGCGTACATCTTCCCGGATACATTAAAAAGTATTCTGCTCAATTTAATTACGTCCTTCACTTACCTTCAGAGTAAGACCGTTTCAAAATTACGCGGCGCTCATTTTCGTCGCGTGGCTTTGATTAATCGCACCGCGCAGTGAGTGGACGGATTTTCCGGGATTTTCTTTCTTTCTCTCTCTCTCTCTCTCTCTCTTTCTCTCGTTCGCGACGACGGTCGCGACCGTGCCCGGATTTCCATCCTTGTTCGGCTTTTTCCCGCCTTACATCTATTATCTCGCGTCACTTTAGCGGTCCCGGGACTTCGTTCCCTTTCTCTTCTGAATCGACCTTCCGTTGCGAGGCAAAAACAAAACAAAAAAATAACGACCGATAGCATGCAACCTTCTCTGCACCGACATAATGTCCCTCGCTTAATTACCGTTACGGGGAGACGTTTCCTTTGTTCATCGCAGAAAATGTGTAATTAAATCACGCAGTGGGTAAACATGTCGCTCTCTGCGAAAATGCGGCAAGAATCTCTCTCCTCCTCGCGCGCGTCTCTATCCTCGCGACTTGTTCGAAATTCAAAAATACGCACGGTACATTAGTCACGTTACGTTCGCGAATTCCTCACATAGTTTCGCAGTTTTCAATTGATTCATTCTCTCGCGAAGAGTATTCATTTTACGATACGTCGAATCAAGTGTATAAATCATCGAACGGGACAGAGATGTAATAGTGAATTTAAATTCCTTGTTGCGCTAATGAGAAACCCAAGTTTCTCTTTAGGCGAGAACACAGTGTTTTTTTTTGTTTTTATTCTCTTCCCCTCGTATTTATCGCTTGTCACTCCCGCGGTATCGGAATTCGCGGTTTTCTCTGTTCAAAAATCACACATACATTCCTCTCTCTCGTTTTATTTCTCTCTCCGCACACACATACACACGTGTGCACGCGTGTATATGTGCGTCTCTCTTCGTACGACGACTTCTCGTAAACACAGAGAATATACGCGTATTATTATCCATCTATATATACGCGAGTATATAAACACACACACACGCACGAATAAGCGTGTGTACATGTAATGCTTTATCTCAACGCTAGATGGAAATTGACATAAATCGCATTTTCTCGTGTATAAGAATTGCCCAGTTGAGTATAATACGCGAAGAAGGTAGTATAGGATACGCGTAACAAGCAAAGGTATTTTTTGAAGTGGATGAGGGAATAACTCTCACTCCGCGCAAACTAAAGCAAACATAATTATAACAGAATATATATATACAAGTTTTATGTATATTCAAAAAGATGACCGAACAGAACGTCTGACAAATTTTGACAAAGCCAAGCCTATAATACGAAAATAAGTTCGGTCGATCTGAAGAGTCATTTATGATTTTTGCTAACTTCGCAATATCTATTGAGTTATTAAATGTGAGCCGATGAGCGCACGAGAAGCGATAGTTCGAACTCTGTAGACGTGTGTGATTTGCAGTTGTATCGTCGTAAAACTCAGCTCATCGCAGAAAAGCTGTGTTACACGCCACTCGCTTTGTTGCCTCGCCTCTAGTTACCAGGAGACATTTTGCACCAAGTTATTTTTCTTTACAATCGAAAATCATACAGAGTCTATTGGTTCCCACGCTCATTACGGCTCACATTAATTGATAATTCAATTAATGTTGCAAATTTTGCAAAATGGTACATGAATTTTTAAGTTCAGATTGATTTCTCGTAAACACAGAATATACGCGTATTTTCTATCTATATGTACGCGAGTATATAAACGCGCGCGCGCACACACACACGCACGCATAAGCGTGTGTACATGTATTGTAATGCTTTATCTCAACGCTAGATGGAAATTGACATAAATCGCATTTTCTCGTGTATAAGAATTGCCCAGTTGAGTATAATACGCGAAGAACGTAGAAACATTGTACTAATTGTTTTTTTATTTATTTTAAGATATATAGGGTACGTCTAATAAGCGTAGAGCAAATGTATTTTTTGAAGTGGACGAGGGAATAGCTCTCGCTCCGCGCAAACTAAAGCAAACATAATTATAACAGAGAATATACATATACAAATTTTACGTATATCCGAAAACTTGACTGATTGAACAGAATGTCTGACAAATTTTAGACAAAGCCGAAATATAATATGGAAATAAGTTCGATCAATCTGAAAAGTCATTTACCACGTTAGAAAATTCGCAGGATTTGTTGAGTCGTTAACGTGTGCCGATAAATGAATTTTTAATTTCGGATCGATCCAATCTGTTTACTTCGATTGTGTCAAAAATTTTTCAAACACTTTTTACGTATGCCATCTCATCTGGAAAATCTCGCGACGTGACTCCGCGTGGCCGGAACATTCGATATATCTCCGCGCAAACGAATCTTCTGACAGGATATGAAAACAGTATTGATACAATGCCATTACCGTGTGTGCCGTGTGCCGAAACGTCTGGCGCTCATCTTGCGCAATGACGGAGGAGAATCCGTAAGCGATCCTCGCCACGGTTGCTTCGCGCGCGCGGTCCGCGCGATGAGAAAATCGTTCGTCAGAGCTGGCACAATGTGTGCGCGGAGAATGCGCGGCTCTGCGTACCTCCTCCCCCCCTTTCCCTCCGCAGACTGCGGCACAGACATCGCGAAATTTTTATACGGAGAATTGCATACGCCGATAATAATGGTGAAGTTGTAGCGAAGCCATTACGTCGTTTATCAATATACACTCGACGCCGGACGGACGTTCGCATTTAACGCTCTTCACGTACGTATGAGCATCTCGGGTTGTTTCTGTTCGCGTCTGTTGTGGTTTTTCCACTCGAATGTGTGAAATCCGTGTGATTCCACGGAGAGAGAAAAACAAATCCCGCAGTTTCCGATGCAGACTGCGTGCGATATAATATTATGGTAATGTAATAAAATCCAATTTTAATGCGCTATCACGTCACGCAAGCGAGAAAGGACAGGCGGGATGGAAAGTAAATTAGCAAATGTGTGTTTGTGCAACATACGGATAAATATAAATATGAAAAATATCTCAATAGCGGAAAAATCCGTGAGTTGCGAAAATCATCGCAACTTCTAACAGAAAGCGAAGAGCCGACGTCGCCTCTCCCAAAACTCGCGCGCGCGATGTTGATAGAACCGACCTTTTATTGCCCGACGCGAGAAATATGACGTCGTAAGTAGCGGTGAATAGACAGCAGTGACGGAAGCCGCGATCTCAGATCGGCGATCTATCACTCGGGGGTCGGGGGAAACTATGCGCGAGCCACCTCCGACGAACGTCACGTTCCGTTTCCGATATCGTGCGTTAGAAAAATGATAAATCTCCCGGTGTCAACCGAGTGGATCGTCGCGCGCGAGCGCAAACTCGACTCCGGCGGCGACTCGCGCGCGCGCGACGAGCTGGGCTAGTACGCGGCGCCTGTCGATAATCGATTCCGTCGTGTCGCCTGTCATTTGTCACGCGACACCTCGCCGCTCGTTGTATGTAAGATAACTCGAATCGGCGGCAAGATACGCCCGCGTCTTCGATTTTTCCCGAAAAAGATCCCGGAAGTAAGAACGAGCGCAGCAGCAGTCTCTCTCTCTATAGTTGTCATTGCTAAATTACAGTCCGGCTGGCGCTTCGTGCGCGATGCCGTTTCGATATGAGAAGCTGCTTTATTGGATGTCGCATATGCGGCCAAACAGCTGCTCTGGTACTGCGCGTCTCTCTCTCTTTCTCTCTCTCGTTCTCCTCGAAACGGACGCGTCGCTTGCGTTCGATCAAGTCGGTCGGAAGCGCGTGGGGGCGGATTCGCGTTATATCGGAGCGGAAAAATTAATTTACTTTGTGCAGAAAGAACGTGTCCAACGTTCAAAATACGATGTACACGCAAGCACAAGATGTGCTTCAGTCTGACGTAATTTTTCGATACGCAAAGTACATAAAAAAAAAAAAATAAATAATAATTGATCCAATTAATATTTTTCGAAATTATTTCCAAAACAAAAATGTGATTCAGTATTTCTCTTGAAAG